TGGGGGGGGGCGGGGGGGGGGGGGGAAGGGACAAAGTTATTTCCCTTTTTTTTGGTTTTTTTGGGGGGCGTTAATTTCTGCAAAACCCAGGCGGAGGGGGGAGGGTTGTTTAAATTTTTTTTTTTTTTGGGGGGGGGGGGTAATTCATGCAAACCCATGCAGCAGGGGGAGGGTTGGTGTAATTTTTGGTGTTTTTTGGGGGGGGGGTGTATTCATGTAAACGCATCCAGTAAATAGTGGTTTGTTGGTGGACGTGGCATCCCTAGACGGAGGAGCAATATCCGGGATTTTGGGCGGCCCGGGTTAGGGTTACAAGGATGAACCAGGGTTGGGCTGTTTCTTCCTTGCGATAGTTATGGCAGATATGTTGGGGGTTGTTTGGGCTTCCCGGGGGGGGGGGGGGTATTGTTGGCATCGACCGCGCCTGCCGGGCTGACCAGTGAAACAGGCGTCAGTCCCAGCTCGGCTATAAAGAGAAAACGCGCCCCCGCGCGCGCGCGCGTGTACTTTTATCGCTACAAAATGGAGGTACAAGCCAGGCCAGGGGGAGGGGGTTACAAGCCAGGGTGTTTTTTTATCTGCGGGATGATGTAGTGCTGGTAGTCGCGCTTCCTGTGCAAGGATCAAAGTTTCTCCGTGTTTTCGCGGTGACTACTGCTGTAGGCCGCACTTGTTATTGTTCTTTTTTTTTGCTCTTGTTTTCTTTCTTTCTTGCTTGCTTGCTTCTTGTCATCTCGCGCGTGTCGCCGCCCCGCGGGCTACTTGCTCCCAGGGAGTCTCGATGCTGGCGGACGAGATCATCGACTACTGGGACGAAAACGGGCCTCCCGGTAAGGTGAGGGTTTGTTTTTTGTTTCTCCGAGAGGACGCGCACGGGAGCCTTGCGAAGATGACCTGTGACAACAACAACACATGTGGCTTTGCTACACGGGGTACGTCTGGATCTAGAAGGGTACAAGACAGCGCCCTTGCGCACCTGTTTTCATCTCGCAGTAGCGATGTACATCGTGGAAAAAAATAGCGTTTCTCGAAAGATGCATACGTCGTGTGGTCTCCACCCGGACCGACGCACCCACGTCCGTGTACACCCATTCACACGGCGGACCCTTATCCCCGGGTTAGACAGTTCGCCTCAGCCTCGCTCAAGAGCAGGGATCTTTCCTGCGGTGTCTCACGTGTGTGAGACGAGAAAACACCCCCCTCCCTCCAGTCTAGCAACCAAGGCATGCAAAGTTGAGGACCTCCCCCCCCCGCCCTTTGGGGGAGCATGTTGCTAGTATCCCGTGTACCGGATAACGAAATTGCCCTCTTGAATGGTGGTCATCCAGGCAGCGCTACCGCGCGGTTCCGCTCTTAGGAGGTTGGCAGGCGCCTCGGTTCCCGTGCTTCCTCGGGGGCCCGTCCCCCCTAATTTTTGACCGCCTTATTTTTTTTTCCCCCGTCATTGGTGGTTGGCTTCTTCTTGTTTTGTGGTCGTCGTTAGGAGCTGCGGGTGATCCTCCCGGCGGGGACGGGAACGACGGCGCTTTTCCTTGCGCGGCATCTTGTGCCCGAGGGCATCCCGGTCCTGACCGTGCCGTGCGCGGGGGATAGCGGCTACCTGTACAGGCAGATGGCCAAGGTGGGGGACAGCTTGCAGCATTATTGCAGTTTTAGTTTTTCCAACCGTGTGGCATCGCTCTTTCTCTCCGTCTCTCTCGCCGGAGGTGGTCGGAGGTGGTCAAGCTGGGAGGGATAATGAGCAGCAGGGGTTGAAAAGTATTGTAGAAAAGTACAGTAGAGGCCCGATTTAGTGCCGGTACAGCATGTGCCCAGAAAATGAACCGGCACTATATCGGACCGGCACTATTCAAAGTATTGAGAACGACTAGGAAATTCAGTGTGTGCCCGCCGAATACACCGAACCGGCACAATACCGAGCACCGACACTATTCAACCGGCGCTAAACAGGCCCCCCCACTGTATGCATACTACTATAGTAGTCGAAGGGGATGAGTTGGATTTTTCTAGTGAGTTTTCCCAAGCGTAGCGTCTCTCTTCCTCTCTGTCTCTCTCTCTCCGAGAGACGACAAGCTTGGAGAGACAGCGGTATCGGTACAGCCACGTTACATTTTTCTCTTGGCGTCCGTACAAAACGCCTGTGTTTTTCGTCTGCTCAGCCGTTACACCTCTGGCCAATTGTCTTCGTCATCCGAACAAGCACATCGGTTTTTTGTTTGCTCAGCCGTTACATGTTTCTATTGTCATATTTTTAGCACGTTCCTTTTTTGCCTGCTCAACCGCTTCATCTTTCTCTTGTAATCCGTACAAGCACCTTCTTTTTTTGTCTGCTCAGCCCTTGCATCTGTCGCCATTCTATCTTGTCATCCGTACAAGCACATTTTTTTTTGTTGTCTGCTCCTCCTCGTCAGGTGGATCGCGCGTCCGGGGGCGTGGGTATCTTCCCGCAGTGCGTGCAAGAGACGAGAAAGAGGAAGGCGGCGTTTGGCGTGCCGAAGCGAGAGCTCCTGGAGGTGTGACGAGGGGGGAAGAGGAGGTGGTTGGTAGTGGCGACAAGAGCATGTGGGGCGTTCGGCTGTTTCCACGACCTTCTCGATCTCTGTCTGTCTGTCTGTCTGTGAGTTTGTTCTTATGGTCTATCCCTCCTGTTCTTTTAAATTGCCTTGTCGATTTGTTTCCACACATTAATATGGGCTCTCTCTGCGTTTCTTGCAGACCGTTCTCCTCCCACCCACTCAAACTCGCGCCCCTGTACACCCACCACTCTCTCGGTTCTCTCCTAGTTTTTCTTCGGAGATCGCCGTCGTCCTCCACAACCGCTACATGCCCCCCC